GAAACAAATGAAAGTGATGTGTAAATGTTATAATTTTTTTGAGACAACTAAAATTGGTCTCTAAAAGATTGATATATATATATATATATATATTTGGTAACAATTACTCTAAAAATACTAGTATGAATATCAACTTATATGGGCTACTGCAGTGGTGGAGGGGTTATAAATGGAGAAAGTTTGAAAATAAAATTTGAAAGGCCATCCTCATGGCTGTCATGTGGTCATTATGGAGAAGTAGAAATGATGTGGTCTTTAACGGGAAAATCTTCCAGTTGAATGAATTATGCGAATTGATTAAGGTGAGGATTGCCTTTTGGGTTAAATCTCTGTCAAAGGAGCCTTTGTATTCAGTTCAGGATATTATTATTAACTTGCAGCATATCAGAGCTATCGGTTGCTAGACATTGTATCTGTATGTTTGGGGTGTGGGTGTTCTACAAGATAAGTATGTAGCTGTCTGTCTGTGCATTGTTCTGGTTTGGGAGTATTGTTGTTGTCTGTTCTGAGTATGCTGGTTTTGTGATTTCAAGACCTGTATATAGAGACTTGTAGGTTGTGGGTATTGAACCGAACTGTATTTGTTGTTTTAAATGGTTTGCTGGTTGCATATGCTATCTTTCCCTTGGCTTGGATCTCCAAGTACAAGCACATGCTCTTTTTATGTCTCTGTAATGTTAACAAAGGATGCATTGGTGGAGGTTGAGATGGTTTTGAGCTTAGGAGTGAGGCAGTTTTGCCTATGAGTAGGGTGAGCTGCAGTGGAGGTTAACACATTGATGGTCAGGTACAAATAAGAAGGACAAGGTAATGGAGGAATCTGCTAATTGCTGGTCAGCTGGTGCTGCTAATTATTACTCTGCTGATGGTTCGGCTAATAATTGCTGCTAAATCGGAAGCAGATTCTTTTGGTACTGTGCGGTGCATTCTTTTAGTGGGAAGCAGATTCTTTTGGTAGAGCTCTTGTGAATTGCAATATGGGTTAAAGCTCAATCAAAGGCGTGTCCATATTCAGTCCAGGATTTCATTTGTATCCTGCAGCAGATCAGATTTGCATCCAAGTCCTAATGCTACTAAGTTGTGCATTGTTGTATCAGACTAGTCTTGGAAGGGGGAGTGTTGTACTATATGGGCTAGGGGAGTTATGGGTGTATTGTTGTTTGGTCTTTGTGTCCTGTTTGTTTTGTTTGTTTTTTTTTCTTCTGTGGTGTTGGTATCTAGCCAACCCTTTGGCGTGAGCTCTCAAATGATTGGGTGTTGCTCTTGGTGCCAACCTAGATGAGATGAAGGGTAACACTATGATGTTCGTTGCTCTTCGCCCTTGCTTTATTGATGTAATCCGCTTATTGATATCAATAAAGTTGTTTCCTTTTGCTTATCAAAAAAAAACTTATATTCCTTTCTTGATTTCTTAACAATCAAACAGAAAATATCAAACATATCACCAAATCATCTGTTCATTTTCAAATTAAAATTCAAATACACGGGAAAAAAAAAAAACAAAAAAAGCTCATTACATTCAAAGAGGCTTAATCAAAAGATAAATTTTTTGAGGGTAAATTATAAATTCACCTCTTGAACTTCACTTGTAATATGGATTACCCCACGTGATTTAGAAAATTATAAACATCATATTTTAAAATATATATATATTTAATAAAATTATATGAATTATTTATTAAAATATATTTGCAACATTATTAAAAATTATTAATTAACTTAATGATTTATTAATAAAAGTGTCATTTGTATGAAATTAAATATTTCGTATTTTAAACAAATCTCGATTTTTATTTTATTTTTATTTTTTTGCAATTTATCCATTTTTAAAAAGATTTTTGTACTTTAAAGTATATCAAAACTATAATGAATTATTAAAATATTTTTAAAAATCACTAAAGACAGAAAAAAAATACAAATTCAAAATTCAAAAAAAAATATTTTTAAAAACTCCAAACTAAACAGAAAAAATGAATTTTATAATTAAAATATTATTTACTTTTTAATAACATTTAGTGAAAGTATAATAATATTCCTAACATTTAACAAAAATACATCCACATATGTTATAATATATCAATGAGGTGTCGCACATCAAAAGGCCATCATCATCATTAATATTTTATAATGAAATTATTATTGTACGAACACGAAATAATTTTCTCGTATAATCCTATTGATCAAGTTTGCACTTCTCCAAACGTTGCTTTGCCACTTGAAAACACAAGCGTGAACTAATCAGCGGGTGTCTGCCGGAAACCCCTCCGATGCCTAAGTCAGCAACTAGACAATAGACAATAAGCTCTATGTATTCTAGAGTGAGAATTAGGATACCTCTACATAGGTCCTGCTATGAGCTTTTATAGATTTTACTTGACCCAATCCTAATAGGATTCCAACTCTCTTTATAAGAGTCCTCCTAGGAATCACACGCCCTATGAAGAGTGCCTATCCTGATAACACTCTACTCACTACCAACCAAGTGAGATGGTTTACACAATCTTAATAGAACTCTACTCTCCTTAGCAGAGTCCTTCTAGGAGTCTTAAGCTCAATGAAGAATGTCTATCATGACAACACTCTGACTTCCTCCAGTCAACTAAAATGGTTACCTCCTTTGTTTAAGCTGCTGTAACCTAACCGAGCTATATTACCTCGGTCATATACTCAATTAAGTAATGATGCAGATGGCATTCAGCCGAGCTATATCAAGCTCGGCCTCCTTTCTCACCAACACCTCGGCTAACCACTAGACCCACTTGTTTAGGTAGCTCGGTCCACAGTACCTCTGCCCAGCTTGGAGTTTATACAACATAGGACTGAGCTATTCGAAGCCCACACCTCGGCCTTTAGTCCGACCCAAAACAGAGACTAAAGGACCGTAGCTCGGCCAATATTTATTTATAAATTACCCTCTCAATTATCATACCCTTTAAATTTTTAATTTTTTGTAAAAAAAGAAAAATGAAATGAAATAAAGAATAGTAAATATGTTGTATTCATAATTTAATGTATTAAGTGCAAGAAAGATATTGCTGATCGTAATGTTCATTAATTTCCTTTATTATAATTAATAATAATAATGTCTTTAAAAAATTAAAATCAAAGTGCATCTATATTTTTGTCAAATGTATTGAGTTGATTTAGGAGTGAGCATTGTCTGGATTTGGGTAAAATCAGGATCAATTCGTTATCTACGGTTCCTGAAAAATTGGAATCAATCCAATCCGTTTAAATCGTGGAACCAATCCGAACCAATCCATTTAAACACGGATTAAATCGATTTAGAACAACGGATTCACATAATTAAATAACAAAAAATATATATATAGAACATTTTAATTTCATAAAAATATAAGCATAGTATCATATTAGTTCTACAATAGCAACGTGTCTTTCCGCAATAGCAATATACTATTCTAAAATTTAAACAATCATAAGAAAACTAGTTCCACTATAAGTATTTCGACCATTACAAATTAAAACTAAAAACCAACAAACAAAAACAATAAAAGAAGATACTATGCAGATTTAGGTTTGGATTTAGGTTTTATATGGAATAAGAGAAGATACTATACGGGAGGGTATATAATATAAATATAGGATATTTGTATACGGTTCGGATCGATTCCAATCCGGAACCAATCCGTGGACTACGGATTTTTAATTTTTTAATCTAGAACCGAACCACGGATTCAAAAAATCAATCCAAACTTACCGGATTAGATTAGACTGGATCGAATTATGAATTTTACAAATTCCTTATTCAGCCCTAGAAGTGATTAAGTATTTCTTGTCGTGGAGTGTCCGTAATAAATAATCTTAAAAAGAATATTGTAGAAATCTCAAATATCATTTTGGTTGATGTTAAAAAATAATAATAATAATAATAATAATAATAATAATAAATACTGAAAGTAATGTCCGCGAGGGAGTGGCTGTGTATATAAAAATCGTGCTGACACAACTTCAAAATGTTAGGGAGTGACCATGTATTTTGATCAAATGTGGATGTTCTTGATTTTCAACCTTTATCCTATCTTCTTTTCTTTGCATGTCAAAGTCATGTTTATCTCCATATGATGTTCTGCTTCTAAATTTTTCTGTCATTCTATCTAAATACACTTTCGACCAAGTGATAATCTTATAAATTATGTTATTTCAATATTCTGATAGAATTTTATCGCTAATAATGCATTCAAACAGAAAGTCAGAAATAATTTGGAGAGGTATTCCTAAACATATTGATATGGTTCATTGTTTATCGCGGATACTATTATTATTATTTTTTTCTCCAACATCAATTTCCATACCTCCAGTTGGCCAAATTTATATATATATATATATACATATATCAATTTAATGCAATTCGAATTTCAAGTGTCCAAAGCTGAAATTTGTACCCAAAAAAAAAAAAAAAAAAAAAAAAACAAAAAAAAAAAAAAAAAAAAAAATGCAAAACCAAAATATTTGGCCAAGCCAGGAAATTATTTAAATTCTAAATGTTTACAGTTAAAATTTTTAAAATATAGTCCTGATCTTATGAAATTTTTTGAACTATTACAAAAATATATATTGCAAACTTTTAGGTTTTTTTATTAAAGCTTTGTCTAAGCAAACTCAAAATGGGATCGTGCATTAGGTGGCAAAAATAAGTCTTTATGGAGGGGAAAAAAAGATAGTTAACCTTATGACGTTTGATCTCCTCCTTTAATATTATTCTTGAACCATTTGGGGAAATTAAAACCCTAAACATCTCTGATTGATGTTTCTCTTTGTTGTGAGGTTGAGAGAGGCTACAGTAGTGCCAAGCTAGTTGTCTCCGATAAGCAACAAACTAAGACCTAGTGCATAAGTAAACTGCTAAAAGCATAACTCATCTAAAAGAGAGTGATGTATGTAGCTTCAAGTCCCATCCTATGCATTGTACCTCTTTCTATGCCTTGTATAAATCATATTCATCTACTGATTTAAGATCCTCGTGTATGTACTCAGCAATATTTAGAAAGGGTAAATATCTTACCCATTTTTTAAACTGAAAACATTAATGTTTCGGCATAATCCCAACAAATATCAAAAGGCATAATTAAAATAAGAGTACACATGCATTCCAATTAGAATTTCGTTTGCCCTCTAGTGTTCTTCATAGATTGTTTCACTTTTTGCTGCCTTAAAACTTAGAGCTTTGGTTTCATTGGATTACTTAGGCCTGATCTATTAGGAAGATGTAAATTTTCCCATTCATCATCATCCTCAGCTTCGGCAAAAAACCGATCTACCATTTCTTCACTGACTTGCCATAGTTGTGGAGGCTCCCACTGTAAAAACAAAAACAAAAGAAGAAGAAGAAACAAGTCATAGTAACAGTCAAATTACAAGCACGGTTCAAAGTAGTACAAGTTCATATTTTTTAGGCATATTGTAGACAAATCCTCTTCATTGTTGTAATTACTTCTATAATCCAAAGAACCTAAATAATGATAATTATTTGTTCAAACTTCAATTGAGGGGAAAATTCTGACATTTTTTCAGTGTGTGCTGAGAGCTTTTGTTGTGCTGTGGATTCATGGCATCGTTTGATTGAAGTGACAAACTACAGCACAAATTAAGAAGTGAACATAAGTCATTCTTACGTTCGCTGTAAAATAAACAAGTAGGTTTTTTTTTTCTTGAACTGCTTCCGCATTTTGTTTTTCTAAAATATATGTCAAATAAAATTTATGTAAAGCAAATGTTTTCTCTAATATACTCTGTCATCACAAGAATGTCCACCAGTCAGGAACATTTGACATCCCAATCAACTGAGTTAAGGAAGCGTATGATCGTAATTAATGATTTTATCAAATTTACTAATACATGTATTATCTTACATATTTGATTACAGATTTGTTTTGAAGTACTTTACATACTACATGATCATCTATATTCTAAGATTCCAATCCTTATATTCTACAATGAATATCAGTTTTTCTAAATAACTGTAGAGATGTGGATCAGAAACTGTCAATATGACTACCAAATAGCCTGTTGGACTACTAGCCCAAAACATATAGGGCTTGTTTGGTTTGTTTTTAGGAGAGTTGTTTTTGAAAAAAAATTTGGGGAGAGAGTTTAGAAATTTTTTTGGTTTGCTTGGTTGTATATTTTGGGAGAGTTGTTTTTTTGGGAGTTTGGGATGATTTGATATTTTGGGAGAATTTGAGTAGATGTGTGTGAGAGAAAAAGTGATTGAGAAGGAGAGAGGAGATAGAAAAAGTGATTGATTGATGTGTGAGAGAGAGAAAGTGATTTTGAAATTTTTTTGAGAAAAACTCAAACCAAACAATTTTTTAGAAATTTTTTTCTAAAACTCATCTCTCAAATGCAAACCAAACATGCCCATAATATCAAGTTTCACGTGATAAAATAGTCTTCTTCCTCCATCCCTTTGCTTAGGTTATATATATATATATATTATAGGCTTTGCTTGGATTTCAGATTTGTGGAGAAATTTATGGATGAAGAAAAAAATAGAAAAATAGCTTTTATTTCTTTTTCTTTTTTTTTTCCTTTATAAATTTCTCTACAAATTCAAGATCCAATGTTAATGTTGAAACAAAAGCAAGTAGTCTAATATAGGAATGCTAAAGGTAACATGCAATTGTTATTATTTTTTTTTGGTACGTACCTTGGGCTTTTTATCTTTGTCAATTAGCATAGCTCTGGCACCCTGCGAGTTAATGTTACATGATTGAAAAACAAAGTTATAATTTACAATAAGATGAAATAAACTTATATCCTTTATGTACATGTTCTTTGTCACTTTTGTTTTTTTGTCAATTGTGTTCATAAAGTTCCTAATTTGAGTCAAATTAATCCAATTTTAGATGACCGTCTAAATCATTAAAGGATAATAATAAAAATCAGAAATGTTTCCTAAAATTTGAGTTTTCTAAAGTGACAACTTTATCAATTTAATACCTAAAATTGTAAGAATATGCTTTATCTTCTTCATTAGTGTTTAAGAATTAAAGTGACGGAATTAAAAAACTTGGGGAACTAATGTGACAAGGAACACATACTTCAAGGATTACATGTAGATTTTTATTATTACTGTGTTAATGATTTTAATGGTCCATTTGAAATAGAATTAATTTGACTAACAAAAAAAAAACAGAAACAAAATTAACATTTCAAGAATAAAAAATGATACCAAATCCATATTTTAAGGATCATACACATATTTTATCCTTTAGAATATATGAAAACAATAGATTCTATATACCTCATAGAAATCATTGTTGACCGTTCTTCGCATGAAATGACGACAGAGAGTAAATTCACGACTGAGACAATGTTCAAGTTTTAGCACCCTTCCTTCTCTAATCTAATCAAGAACCAAACAAGATTATGTTAAGAGTGAAATGAACAAAGGTTGAATCTGTAGTGCGCACCTTCCAAGGGTGTGCATGATGCACACTTCAACGTTTATGGTTTGATTAATGCAAAATTACAACTCAATCACATCAGACCATAACTCCAACAATTAGTGACTTCACTGAGTCATATCTAGGAGTTATGATCAGATGTAATTGGGTCGTAACTTCAACGAAATTGTATCGTAAATTTGCACACATCCTGTTGTAATCAAAATAGATGCTCATTATGTACAGAAAAATTATATTCATACACAAATCCATCTTCAATTTTGTTTTGTTTTGAAATGAAATGTCCACAACAAGCCACATCATTATGTATGAAAATTATATATGAATTTTTTTTTGTATAGCATTACTCTTATATACACCTGTAAGAGGGTACACAATACAAACTGACACACAAACAAATGTGCCCTCTCATCTTGTGTTGCTATAATGCACTTGTAACAAGGAATTTTCCAAATGAATTCAATGAAAATAAGAGAGCTTTTATTATTATTCTTACAGATCGTAAAGTAATTTTAAGACTCGTTGGTGAAGCTGACTTCAAAGAACTTATTGCCTCAACAATCCACTTATCTGTTCCAGTTTCCATTTCTTCTTCCTAAATAAAAGAAAAGAACCAGTGAAAACTTATTGTTTGGGTTAGTTGCACTTTTGATTTCTAAAGTACATGCTCTTTGTCATTTGAGTTTTCAACATTTCAATTGTACTAATTTCATTGCCAAAGTATTGAATGTATCCTAAAGTAGTTCTCGAGCTGACATCATCCATAAAAGCTCAGAATCAAGGATAAATTTGGAAACAAAAGATATACTTCAGCAAAAAGGTTATTGAGATAACTTTTTGGATGACGAAGTTCAATTTCGTTTCCAAATTTAGCTTTGATTCTGATGGCTAATACAAATGGTGTCAAACACGGGACCACTTTAGGAAACATTTAATACTTTAGGGATGAAATTGACACAATCAAAATGTTGGAGACCAAATGATACGTAGTGCATAGTTTAGGAATCAAAAGTATAATTAACCTTTTTTCTGAGAAGGATAGATATATACCAAATGGAATAATTTTTGACAAGTTTACTTACTAGTGATGATAAGATTTCTTCAACTGTTTTTCTAGAAAAACACTTGTTGATGATCTCTACTCTGCTCATCAATAAATTTCACTAAAATCAAGAGCTTTGTCCATGATACAGTCCTATATAATAAAAATCCACAACAAAAGCACTAGAAATGCATATAAAAACAAATTGGTGAATGAGAGCCAACAAAAGGTTGAAGTAAAACAACAATAACTAAGTAACCTTTTATGAAAGCTATCTTGCTTTGCATGTCCTTTGTATATGAACTTGCTGACGAGCTTAGAAATGGTCAATGTATCTGCAGCAACCAGCTCACATAGCGCATCTTCTAACGGTTGAAGATCCTAAGGTACAAAGGAAAGAGAGAGAGAGAGAGAGAGAGAGAGAGAACAAAAATATATTTTGTATTACACAAAAAGAGTATAATGAAAAGAAAAATGTTATATGTCGATTTATTGACAACATTTTGTATCTTCTCTACGTAGGTTCCTTAGAAATAATCATTAAAAAAAAATGATCCTAGTGAAATAAAACGGTGAAAAACCATTGCTATATAGCGTTGGACCTTAAAACCTTTAATGTTCCAATCCTTTTCTTAGTTGCAAAGTCACTTTTTGAAAAGGAGTTGTCTACGAACATTATTATGAACCAAGTTTTGATAATTATGTTTTTACAAGTGGCCAAAATCATATTGGTTTATTTTGTAATATAGAATTAAATATGATGTATCACTATTATTACAATAAACACCCGTGGAATAAAGGAACAAAAGAGAAGTAAAATAAAGCACCGAAACAAAGGGCATGACACTTCTTGGCCACCGAGACAGTAGAGTCGTGGGTGGTCAATTAGGTGGGTGATCAATTAGGTCACGCTCAATTGTTCATTGTTTAGTACTTTCAATATTACATTAATGGATGCATTAAATACATTTTAATGTAGCGTGAGAAAAAATAATTAAAATTTTTTATTCCAACCAATTTTCCATCTACGTTCTAAACAATATTTTTCATAAAGTAATTTCAATATAATTTTTTATTCTCTTTTTAAGATTGTGCATAGCATGAAATTTATGCTAGTTTAAAAAGAGTGATGCTATTAGGTCTCATTTTTTCAACCAAAACACTTCATATTTCATCTTTATTATGCAAATTTTGCACAAATGTCCAAACTGTCCCATCTCAGGAGGGAAAAACAAAAGTTTAAAGGTGAGCATTTTTCAAAAAATTATGATTGTTTTGTCATTTTAAACTTCATATCAGCTGGGTCTAAATAAAATGGGCAAAATGATTAGGAATTGAAACTTCTATAGCACTATGTTCTTCTTTCCCTTGTGCACAATACTTAACGTTTAAAAAGTATCTATACCATTTGTGAGTTAGAAGTAAATTTTAGTGGTAATATAAAATTATATTAAATAGTATGTTAACTCTTTTTCATTTCTTGATTTCTGTTCATTGCACAGGTTTATTGCTAGTATCATTTTAGAATACCTTTGAAAGGACAAAGTGAGTTGCAAGGCCACATGCAAGCATTTCAATTCCATTAATTCTTGCTCCAGTAAGCCCTAAATATTCTCCTGTACAAGTTGGGCATGTGATAAATTATAAAGAAAAAATTATATATATGAGTTTAAAGCATTGGACAATATGAGTTTAAAATATTGGACAGTTTTTGGTTCAAGCCCCAATTCAAAATAAGATAGAAACACATGATATTTTGATTAATTTGAACAATTCAAATGGTACAGTAACTAAAGAACAATTATGCAACTTATAAAAAAATGACTGTAATAGTTATAAAAAAATGACTGTAATAGTCATTGACAAGTCTAAAAGGAGCGTTTGATTCCCTTTCCCTAAATGGTCTCCACAGCTAAGTCGAAAATGAAAAGATAGGAAATCTTTTAAGAAGTCCTTATTTTCCCAAAATTGAAAATTAAAAAATTAAAAGGGAGCTTTAGTTAGATGTTAGAGAGCTCCCTCATTATAAGATTATACTAGTACAAGGACACAAAAAAAAGTTTTCCAACTCCAATCCTGTAATATTTGGGAGGCCAATTTATGACCAAAATACCCCCACCCCACAATAGCGCTTTAGCAAGTAACCCCTTACTTTTGAATTGCTTGGAATATTAAAATTCAATAACATTTGATCTAGATCAATATTATTTTTTTTAATTATTAAAAAAAAAATTGTATTTTTGAATTCATCTTGTCGAAATCTATCAAACAACACACATAATGAATAGAAATCTGAAAAAATTTGACAAGATTTTACTTGTTCACTGTTATCTCACATTTCTCCATAATAGAGTGAGGCCGCCCACCACGAGAAGTGTTGGGAGAAATTCCTTTAGGGGCAGAAGGTTGACCTGGGGTGTCAATCACCTTACCTTAATCTCCAGTCACAAGAGTAGGGGCAGGACATGGGGATCTATGGCCATTGGCCTCAACATTCTCTTTCTTGGGAGAAGAAACCTCTTAGGAAGCCTAAGCCAATTCCAAACTTCCAATGTGGAGCAAGTAGCAGTATGAACCATCAAAGGCGTCTTCCAAAAGGAAAGATTGAAAGTTGGAGACGTCTTCCGTCTTCCTTATCCCTCTACTTGGTGAAGATAGCCTCAGCATTCTAATTTTGATGGTGGAGAAAGAAGTTTTCATTTCTCCCTCTTATCCAACTTCCTCTTGGCTTGGGCCATAACCTCAAATGACAGTACTGAACTTAAATTGAGGAACAACCATTTTGGCCACAATGGCTATAGAGGACAGACCACCAGATAAGTCAAAATAGAAGACCAACAAAAAAGGGATAAAATAGAGGCATACCAAAATTCTTAGCAAAAAGCAGGGTCTTGAATCCTCTGTCCTCCTGGCGAAGACCTAAGGCAATATTGTCTTTCAAACCATCCTCTAAGGAGATAGTAGACACTACAGAAAGAAGAAGAAGAAGAAGAAAAAAAAAAACTGGTTGACACTAGAGGAAAAAACATTTCCAGAAGGCGAGCAAGCATACTTATTTGGAAAAGAGAGTCAGAGCCCAATCATTTCAGCATGTTGAACTTGGACTTTATGATGTCCAAATCCTTAGCTGTAAGGGTGCGAGCCTATATAAGTACCAAATTATGTGCTTTCTAGGGTAGATTTTCCTCTCCCTCCTGATTAACAGAGGCTAGACAAGAGAGGTCTACAACAAAGTACAACTTAATCTTGGACATGATCTATTGGAGGGAATGAGACACAACTAGGAGATGGAATGTAATGGCAAGGGACACCCAAACGACAACTAAAGTCAATCCAATCAAACTGGAAGAGGATCTGGGAAAGGTCATTAGAAGAGAGACACACAGAAGAATCATAGGAGTCACTAGAAGAATTTAAACAGCTCAAAATCTTTGTCAGAGATAAGCTCATGAAAAGAGAAGGCAGTGTTAAGTTATGTGCTTGAGGATAATAGTGTCATTGTACTTATTCCTTTGTTATTATAAATACATGTGTTTAGAGAGGTAAGAAACCTAATTAGGTTTTGAGCCTCCTATTCCAGCAAATCTCTTCTCTCTCTGTCAACTCTTATGCTCCAAATTTAACTGTAAGACAAAGCTAGAACAAAGTAGTGCTTTTAAGAAACCTACAGCTCAAAAATCAAAACTATAAATTGCAGAAGATCCTCTTCGGATGGGACAACCACAAATGGTTAGAACACCAAAAACATGCAAATGTAAGACAAAACACAATAGCCATGTCAAATGTGGCATTAACGGTTCTCCTACGTGTCGAAAAAATAAAATTTGCCAATTACTCATTAAATGCATTACATCATTTCCCAATATGTCACATTATACTGCAGATATGAGGGGGGGCAATTGATCAGGAAAATTTGAACAGTAAGCCTAAGGACAGAGCTGGCCAAGGCTAGCAAGTCAAGGTTGACCCAAGAATCTTTCTTAGGTTAGGTGGGAAAGGAGGGAGATTTGAATTTGAAATACATGATTAAGAGAGTAAGGATAAACTTGTGATAAGATAAAAACAAAGAGCACACGATATCTAGAAGTGACAACCTTTGTCATCTCCACAATGCATGCCTAAACTTATGAAGTCAATAACATTATATAAACAAAGGGAAACACACCAAAAAGAGGTAAGATCTCAAAATGTGGTCGTTGTGGGTAGTGAAGGGTAGTAAAGCATAAGGACCAAAATCTGAAAGTACACAATGAACTAAAAGTAATATAAAAATTATGAAAAGTCAAATAGTTTAAAATTTTAATGAAGTTGTTACAGAAAAAATTAGAGTTAAAAGTGATACCAAAATAGCCTGGCAACCTAGAAAGAAAACATGTGGCACCAACGTCAGGAAAAAGTCCTATTGATGCTTCCGGCATGGCAAACACCTAAATTGGACATCACACAAATGAATTATGTTAGGATTTGTGCATGGTTGAAGTTTAAAGCAATGTATGTTTGATTGAGTTTTTCTTTCTTTTTTAATTTGTATTTTCAAATGCATATGCACTAATGTTATCATACAAATTACAGAAAGGTGGAGTATTACTGCAACATATATTCATGCAATAAATAATAATAATGTTTGTCAAGGTGCTAGACAAAATTTTAAACTCCACAAACTCTGGTTCTAAAACTCATTAACCTTATGGGTAAGTTTAGTCAAAGAAATAAGTATTTTTATTATGCAATCATGTCTTAAAACATACTTACAAAGATTAACATTTACAATCATAGTTATTTCAGTCTTCATGTCTTAAAACATACTTGAAATGAATTTTGGGTTGTTGGTCAAAATTTTTTTTTTTTATGGTTATCTCATTCTTCACATATACAGCTGTGAGATGTGCAATCTATACACCATATATAGGAGAAGCAAAGTTAATAAAAGGTTAATGTAATGGGGGACCTAAATTCATTTGAAGCATTGCTTTCAATATTAACAAAAGCAGTTGACTGGTTGAAATGAAGATAGTAAAAAAAAAGGAATAACTATTAGACTGGAAGATGGATTTTAAGGCTGTGTTTAGATCTTAGATTTGGGGAGGGAAAAGAAAAGGAGAGGGGGAAATGAATGAAATAGAAGCTAAGGCTCCGTTTGGTAGAGTTTTGTAATTATGATTTGAGAATATGAGTTGTATTTTGAGTTTGTGTGTTTTAGAATTATGATTTGAGTGTAGATAAGTTTTTTCACAAATCCCTCTTCATTTTTCTTTTCCTTCCAAAAATACCTTCATAAATTTAAGATCTAAACAGCATAAATATTGTAAAGAAGCATTTGTAGGTGCATCCAAGTCATATACAAGAGCCATGGTTAAGGTTTGAGAGCCAACAAGACCACTGTTGAAAATAACTCATTTAGAACTTATCATTGGCCCGTATACTTTAAAATGTCATCTTGGACTTATCAATACGGCTCGTATTGTTTAAAATGTCATTTTAACCCTATAAATTTAGATTTTTATATGCTTTAAAATGCCATTTTCAACCTTTATATCGCTGTGGTTGTTATGCCTAAGATTCCACTTTGAATTTGTACACTTGGTTAGTATGCATAAAATATCAATTTGAACTTGTTTACTGGGTTCGTTTGCCTAAAATGTATTTCAAACTAGTTAATTTGTTTAGTACACCTAATATATTCACTTTGAACAAGTCTGGTATGCCAAAAATGTAAATTTGAATTTGCTCATTTGGCTAGCATCTTTTAATTTCACATTGAAATTGTCTGTTTGGATACTATATGTCACTTTGCGCTTGATAATTTGATTAATGTACTCAAAATATCCTTTAATGTCGCTTTAATTTTGAATGTTGAACTTTGTCGAAAATGCCATTTTGAACCTTTGGATTTAACTCACCTTTTGAATTTTGGGTCGTATGCACAAACTGTCATTATTCCAGACCTTTGGATTTAGATTTTATGCTTAAAATTGTTACCTCAAGCACATTTTTTCCCCTAACTATCAAGCAAAAATTTCCACTTTGAACTTACTTTGGCTAGTGAGCCCAAAAATGATTTCTCATGTTTTCAAGAAAATATTCAAAAAACTCATTTTCAAATGAAGAGCATCGAGGTCAGGGCCTACTTTTAGTAAGCAGTTTACCTTGTCAAATGATGCAAATAGCAATGCAAATAGCAATGCAAAATCAATGTGTGGGTACAAAGTTTTTCATTTCTTTTCTAACAAATGAAGCCGATCATTTTGTTTCTAACTTTGCCACAACCCATAAATGACAAGTAACTTATTCGGAAACAAGGTTACCTAGTTTTGGACGATGTAGGATGCTTAGCCCCTTCACTACTTCTAACCAAACCCCCCAACCTTTTTTTATTCTAACAGACAAATATAGAGTCAATTTTGACCTACCACAACTTAAGTCAAAGTTAGGTGATGCCTCATTTTTTATTTTGAGGACTTATTACTTTTCAAAACTCATATGTTAAGTCACATTTATGTTTGCATTTTGGACTCATTTTAATATAAACATCAAAAATCATATTAGGGTGTGACATAGTATAGTATAGTTAGAAAGTAATTAACAGAATTTCTTACGTTGAATTCTATAATTTTCAAATTATAGAAAATCTGTTGTACATGACTGCAGGACATGCCATTTACATGAATGTGGAATTGGAATAGCAAAAGTTATGTTGAAGAATTTGAATAAAGATGAATTTATTCTACTGTAAAAAAGTGTTTAACTATCTTCCATTTTTTATGGGAGACAAATGCGACAAAATGAAAATGCTATAAATATTTAAATGTTAAAAAAGAAATTTAACTGCATCAAACAAACATGTAATTGGAAAATAATCAATCTATGTGCATACCAATTAACTAGAGCGTGCATAATGAAAGATAAAGGGTAGATAAATACAGTATGCTCAGTGACAATGCGAAACGTTCCGAACATGGATAGTCCAGCACCTCCTCCCATTATAATTCCATTAATAAGGTAAACCTTCAATAACAATTTTAGTTAGATGAAATAAGCTAGCTATGACAAAAAGGGAAAACCAGGGCTTGTTTGGTTGTATTTTCATTTCATTTTTTCTGTTTTCATTCCAAAAAACACAGAAAATTTGTTTGGCAAACTGTTTTTGAAAACTATTTTCAGCAAAATTTTCTAAAAACAACCCACTTTTGAGGAAATCCAAAAAGTTGTTTTCAAATTTTTAAAAACTATTTTCGCACAAAAATAAAAATGATATGAAAATGCCATAATTCTAGGAACACAGATGTGTTTTACACAAGGTTCTGAAAAGCGGTTGCGGTCGCCGTAACGGTGGTGGTGACGCGGTTGCGGTTGCGGGGTGTAAAGGCCGCAGTGTAACGGTTGCGGTAACCGGAACTGTGAATTTTTTTATTTTTCGCACAATTTAAAAAAAATTTACCGATACGCATATTTTTTTTCCATGATCATATTTATTGGGTTAAAAATAAATATTGATCAATTTTTGTAAATTTTTAAGTATGATCTAATATATTTCATATTTTTAAATCATATTATTATTATTATTATTATTATTATTATTATTATTATTATTATTATTATTATTATTATTATTATTATTATTATTATTATTATTATTATTATTATTATTATTATTATTATTATTATTATTATTATTATTATTATTATTATTATTTTCAAACAATATATAGATAGACACACACAAACAAAATGGTTTAGTGATAGCAGCTGAATAGAATAGCATAGGTCTTACAGTTTCAACAAATCAATAACATGTTCTTCATCTTCCCTCTTCTCTCTCTCTATCTCTTGCTCCTCCATTTTCTCTCCTTATCTTCCCTCTTCTCTCTATCCCTCTTCCCCTATTTTCATCTTTTTTTTGTGTGTTTTTTCGAAAGAAACAGTTTGAAACCGTTACGTAACGATGCGTAACAGGCCGTTACGACACCGTTACGACCGCTATGGCGGCCACTACGGCCGACACACCTGTGAATCTCAATCACACTGCAAAAGCGGCCGTAACGGGTGGCGGTAAACGCCAAAACCGTTACGTAACGGCGTTACGTAACGGTTGCGGCCGCTTTTTAAAACCTTGGTTTTACAGAATGGAACACAAATGTGAGACAAAGGTGGGGTCCACATGTGAGTGCCACCATTTGGTCTCACATTTGTGTTCCATTCTGCTGTGGAACACATCTGTTCCTAGCACTCCTCATGAAATGATGGGTGTTTCCAAACTTTTCATAAATAAAAATAAAGAAATCGAAAACACAAGCAACCAAACAGGTCCGGTTGAACTTAAGTTACTTATAAATATATATATATATATATATCTCACCAAAGGTTTTTTATAAGTAGCCAGTAGATAATCTAAACAGAGTTGTTTTTGGTAAAACTTTGCAGCGAAGCTCCAATGTCCTAACACAAGTTAAAAGAGTTTTCATTTCAATACTAATTGATAACATATAACATTTGTGCCATTAATGAAAGCTCAAATTAGAAGAAAGTTTGTTGTCTCTTCAAGGACAGGCAAAAGAAAAGGAATGATTTGTAAAACAAAAAAAAACAAACAAACAAAGAAACATCTTATAACCTGCTATACTATATTGAACCACTCTGACAACATCTCCACCGGCACAAAATGCTTTTCCCTTCCCCTTTCAAAAATAAAAGCTAGATTAGAACTCATAAATTATTAATAACTACAGTAACGAAAATTAAACACGCAAAAAAAAGTGTACGTGCTTCATCAATGAGCGGCAAATTAATCAATGAAGTTGCAGGGATGAGCAAATCATTGTTGAGGCATTAATTGGTTAAGCTGGCTATTTAACATTTATTTTTGCTTTGTCATGGTGATGTGATGGAATGTTAATTTGAACACAGGTGATGATTACAAAGGAATGCAAACCATAGCAAATGAGGCTAGTAGGAAGAGAGTTGCTGTATATGATTGCAATATTTTACTAGAACTCTTCACCTCCTATGTGATTTTTTGTCATGGTGAGTCCTATAATTTTTTTTTTTTAAATATGCTGTGTTTTACATGTCCATATGTAATTTGTTGTGTGGATATACATAGGAGGTGAAATAATATTCAGTGACAAATATCATTTTCTAGTAGTAAACTTCATTAGAAGCTATATAGAAGGTGACAAGGTTTTTCGGTGCTTGTAGAGTATTTGCTTGGCTTGACTCGTTTGCATCCCTAATTATTGGATATCTGAAGCATTGCTCATAGTTTCCACTATTCAAATAGTCTTAACAATCCTACAATAATTTGTTCCATCTCCACCCTCAAATACATATTCTAAAATTTGAATATTTGCTAGATTCTAATCAATTTGCACGAGCAAAAGAAATTGGTGTGGGGAAAAAGCACTAAATCCCTATGAGTCAGTCAAGCTCAGCCCCCGAGGTCTAACTCCAAGATCTCCTTACCCTATCCCCCTCCTTCCTGACCAAACAAACATAATAATAATGATAATTTGTTCATTCTATATTGAAGTAAATATATTAGAAAATATGGCAGTTGTAACTAAGATACAATAAGTGTTTGGTGTAAATACTACAAAGCCAATTAAAGTATTATGATGGTGTGAAATTAACACAAAGGATGAGATTTTTACATGGGAACTCTAGCTTTCTTTTAAAGTTGCATGTTTAATTGCAAAATTCTTTGTTTCTAATTGCAATACATTATTTATCATCCTTAGAGGGAGGGAATAGATGCAAGCATTTCCCATTCAGTCGGTAATGAATCAATACGAAGGGAAAGTGTCTTCCATGGGAATCACAAGTTTCGAACAGGCTGATATTAGTTGGGTATGCTCCTTCCATAGGTTACTTTCTTGTACTGTGGGTGTTAGCAGACGTTTTTCAAAAATAGTTGTCTTACCTTAAAAATTACAAATTTGATTTTAGAATCATCCTCATACACTCTCAAGGCCGCTCCAATTTGAGAAATCTGCACATGAAGCAAAATAATAAATAGATTTCATTTTCTAAAAGTATAAATTAAGATTAGTTAAATAGAATAGACATGCCAATAAGTTGTATCCTTTCTAATTAGCCTTTCGCATTGACATTGTCATATAAACTGATCCACAAAAATGACATCTTTTAAACCAAAAGAGAGCCACATACATGGATAATTACAAATTAACAAAATTATCAAACTTCGTATATTAATTTAAATTATCACTTTCGTAAGAAAAAAATGTCTCTATTTTTTAGAAAGGAGGAGCTCATTCTTGTCTTCTTTCTGAATATGATAAAAAGAAAGATATTCGTATAATGTCTTCAAAAATGACACAAAGTTCAAGCTATATTTGTCTTCATTAAAAATATGAGTATATGACACAAATTTTGATAATTTATACAGTTTTCTTTTTCTTTTTCTTTTTCTTTTTCTTTTGCCTTCGTCTACATCTTTTGTCAATTGATAAAAAATTCTCCATATACATTGAACTGGTTGATTTTCATAGCACACCCGTAAGGTGTGCACACCTTCTAGTATATATATAGTGTTTAAATATTCAAGACAAGCAACAATGGCAACAACTAAACATCGTTTTCATGATTTTTACACAGGTTACAACCACTTAAGGCTGTGTTTGGTTCATGAATTTTGGAAGGAATTTGGAAAAAAAAGAAGAAAAATGTAGGTGAAATGCGAATGAAATATAATTATATTTTACCTAAGTTTCATACACTTTTTTCCTTTCCCTTTCCAAATTCCTGAACCAATCAGACTTACATGTCATGCCTCTCAGTTTGGATGGAGGAGTTTGGTGAGAAGAGAAAAGAAATTGTAAGAATAGAAACTCTTTCACTTGTTTGGATAGTTAAATAGATGAAAAATGGTGAGCTAGGTTACACGGACTCGGGTACGGGTATCGGGTGCGGGTGTGTATCTAGGGATTGGACACTTCAAAATTAAAAATTAAGGATACGTGGATATGTATCCAAATTTGGATACGGGTACGGGGATATGTTAAATAGTTTTTTTTTTTAAATATATTTATTATATGAAGATGAGTTATATTATATAAATAACAAATAAAAATCTATGGAGATGAGTTATATTATATATATATTTTTTATAAATATTTTTATTTTAATATACATTAATTATTTAATTTATTTATTATATTTTTTAAACAATATGTTCTAATTAATTTTTTTATTTTATTTTACATACATGTGTTTATTTTTTTTATTAATATATATAACTATATATTATCTTATAAATATATTATATGTTATATAATAATTATTAAATATATATAATAATATTTATTATTATAGTTATTAACTATTATTATTATTATAGCTATTATAATAATAGATAGATACGAATAGATAGACAGAATCAGGAAGAAGATAAAACGACAGAGAGAGGGAGAAGGAGAAAAGGTGAAGCGATCGCGATCGCGAGGGAGAGAGAGAAGGCGAGAAATAGAGACCGGATGGAGCTTCGATCGACTGATGGAGCTTCAATCTTCGACTGGATCAACCCGATAGAGCTTCGATTGGAGGTCTTCGATCTTCGACTGGATGGAGCTTCGACTGTATTGATTGGATGGAGCTTCGACCAGGTTCTCTCTTGCTCTCTCCTCTTTCATTTCTTTTGCTGTCTGTGAAGAGCCGTGTCCGAGATCGAACAGGCGAATCCGACACAATTCCCACACCCGCACCTGTGTCGTGTCGACACGGGTGCTTCACCCAAAAGTGGCGAGTCCATGTAACACAGATGGTGAGAAGAGGATTCCCACCAACCCCATGTTTTGTTTCCCACCAAAAGTGGTAAGATTTGGTGAGAAAGGAAACTGAGTTTAATGAAAATTTTCTAAAATATGAAAATTATTCTTCTGAAAAAATTATTTTGATAAAATAAAATACAAGACAATACAATACTTTCCTCTTTTTTTTTTCTTCCTCTATCCAAACAAGATAGGTGAATTCATCCAAACTTAATGGTGAGAAAAAATAAATCATTTCCTTTTTTTCTCACCTAGGTAAAAACATAATCATTTCTTTTCTCACCTCACGATCCAAACGGGGTGTAAGAGAAAATTATTGAATGCTTGACAAAAAAAACAGTTTCTAAAACCAAATTGTGATGAATAATTACATACACCAATTGGTATACCAATTAGTGTGTTAAAGATGATGTCGCATAATTTTAAAAATTTTGAATATTTGTAATTTGTATAATAGGTAAAATTAGTAATAATGTCATAACAACATATGTTGGTATACTAATTGGTATATCAATTGATACATGTAGCACCATCAAATTGTGACGGTGACCTTAAATATTTCCATATGTGTGGTTTAAATTCCAAACCATGAGAAAACTGAAAATAGACTTAGGCTGTGTTTGATTTAGAGATTTGAAAAGTGATTTGAACGGGGAAAGTTTCACCTATATTTTTTCTTTTCATTTTCAAATCCCATCTCAAATCTCCAAACCAAAGTGTTTGGCTCACTGTAATGAAAGTGAATTGGAATGGTGAATAATATTGTATTTGTAATAGATTTTACATAGATAAAATAAAAAAATAAAAAAATATATATATAGTAAACATTGCATTCCTCCATTCCAGCTAAATCAAATGAAAAACATAGAATTAATGAGGGAAAGAATGTGAACCTTGGCTTCCGATTAAAGAATTCATATGTTTGCAAAATGCAATCCCTAGTAGTAGCAGACCTGAGCAAGCTCACAGCCACAGCCACACTCAAAACTCCAAAACCCACCACCGTCATGGTTGGAGGAGCTGTGTGTATGGTGGCACCTATGGACGTTTCAGCCACAGATGTGTGTGTGTGTGTGTGTGTGAGAGAGAGGGAGAGAGAGAGAGAGGGCGTAATGAAGTCAATGGGTGCAATGGCAATTCCGCCCGACCCGATCCACATCTTGCCGCAGATTTTTTGTTAAATGGTAAAAAGTGAAATAAATAAAAATTATGACAGTTTATGTAAATGGTCCTTATAATTTATATGTTATGTCATTTTGATCATTCTAATTTTAATTTGTTCATTTTTTATCTTGAATTTTAAACTTTGTATCATTTTGGTCTAATTGAAAACGGAAGTTAAGAAATTAGATGAAAAATTTGCACAAGAATGACATGTGATTGGTTTTTAAGGGTAAAATAGACATTTGGCTTTCTTTTTGAGTTTCTTCTTTGCTTGTGATTGAACAGAACCACTAACCACGGTCGGGCCCCGTTCCACTGCCTTCTGCTATCGTTGCCTCAGCCAAACAATAATCCCAACATGAACAGATCATCATAACTATCAAAATTACAAAACAAAATCTAATTTTCAACCCTAGATCAAAAATCACAACACAAAATCAACCTACAAACCCTAGCCACGTCTTCAAATTTGAAACCCCATATGTACAAATCTCCATAACTAACAAAAGAAAAGGAACAAAAACAGAGAAAGAGATGGAGAATATAAGCGAAAGAAAAAAAAAAAAAAAAAAAAAAAAAAAAAGAACACCATCAATGATTGCTCCATCGCCGTCGTAGTTGGTTGCGTCGTTGATTGGGCATTTTCTAATAATCAACAACAATGGTCTTGTCCACAACAAAATCATTCAATGTTACATTTAATTTTCTATCGACATGTGAATTTAAAACTAAAGTTGAATCTAAAGAGTCGAATTCGATGATAGACAATGGGGATATGTGAGACAATAAGCTTCAAAGTCCTCTGCCACCAAAGAAGAGTGGTTTTGATTGTGATTGTAACTCTTCCTTGACGAAGCAGTCATGGATTTGAATTCAAGCTTCTTCAAATCGCAAGCCCTGGCACCTTATTTGATGGTGTTGTAAGTGCATAACCAGACCCTTTTCCGGTGAAAGGGTCTCAAATCTTGGCAGTCTATTTGCTACATTTTCGGTGTTGAACCCCCTTGTATTTTGACCTAGATGGCCTTGGTCGATTAGGGTTCAGGGTTTTGGTTAAAACTCTTTTCTTTTAGAGGATTTCTTTCCATCGCGTCACCCTACCTCTCTTACAATCGCAACGCCATCACCTCACTCCTTTCATTCCAAACTCACGACAACAACTGCCTTGCCATCCCTCATAGGCCATCGACGCCACCTCTCTCTCCCTCCCTCAGCTTTTCGACGACACCTCCTCTTTATCCCCTCTCTCTCTCTCTCTCTCTCTCTCTCTCTCTCTCTCTCTTCTTTGTACATATATATATATATACATACATATACATATATATCATTGAGTTAAATGAGAGTAAGTTAACTCACTCTGAGTTAGATGGATAAATCATTGAGTTAATTGAGAGTGAGAGCAAAATGTCTGTTTTGCCTTTGGAAACCAATCATATGTCAATCACGTGCAAATTTTTCGTCCAATTTCTTAACTTCCATTAATTGGACCAAAATGATACAGAGTTCAAAATTCAAGGTCGAAGTCGAGCAAATTGAAATTAGAGGGACCAAAATGACACAACGTGTAAACTACAGGAATCATTTGCATAATTTATCCTAAAAATTAAGTTTGTTGTTTTCCATGTGTTAAATTAGTACATTTTATATTTTTTTTATAAAAAAATGTAAAATATAGATTGAGTTTAAAATGATGTGATAAAGAGATAATGTGATTTAAATGAAATAATTATGACCTAAATAAGATAATATGTTAAAATAATATGTGTTATTTTAACACATGCCAAATAGTGCCTAATAATGAAAATTATAAGGAAGTTAATCCCGTGTGTGGTTTAATTTTCTTAAACCTATTTCATATATATTTTTTAAATAAAATAAAATTAATTTGATGAAATAAATAAACAAAAAATCAATATTTTGAAAAGTCTTGAATAATTTTAAAAAATGTTAAAATATTTTTTGATATTATTTTTATCAAACATTTTGAGAAACAAACCAAATATGGCTTAATTTTTTTGTATAACTCATAATAGCATGA